CGACGCTGGGCCCGGGGGTCCCCGACGGCCGCGCCTGCCGCGGAGGGGCCGGGGCGGGGCGGTCCCCAGAGCTCGCCCTGCAGGCGCGGCCGCCCCGGACCCTGCCCAGCGGACCCCTCGTTCCCCCGGGAGACCTCGGCAGCCGCGAGGTGCTCCGGCCCAAAGCGGGACGTCAGGACCCCGGTTCCCCGCGCTGGGGACCGCGCTCCCCCCCCGAGGACGTGCGGGCTCCCGGGCCCTCTCCTGCCGTCTTGGTGGACGGTGCTTCCCGCTCCCCGGCCTCTCGGGTTTTCAGGACCACCCTGCCGTGGGGCCCCGCGGCCCTCGGTCACACCCAGGACCTCGCTGTCACCACACACGGAATCAGCTCCAAGCTCTCAATTCAGATTCCTTTGTCCCGCCATGCATTCCATAAACGTTTGAGAACATGTTGTCACGCGCTGCCGTCCTTCCAGCCACCCAAGGAGCCCTCACTGAGCACCTGTCACTCCTCGGCCCGCAGCTCCGGCCCACGGAGGTGACAGTGTTACGCACAGGACAGCGAGCATTTGCACAGCGCTTGCTTTGTGCGACGCGCTGCTGTTCACACCGTTTGCTCGTCGACCCGCACAACCTTCTAAGAGGCCTTCCCTGGTCACGCTCCTGGTGACAGGCAAAGGGGGCAGAACTCAGGAGCCAAACCCCGCACCCCTCACCAGCTCCCGGAGAGCAAACACGGGTCACACACAGCGGCAGGCGCCCTCGGTGCGGGGACACGAAACAAGGGAACGATGTTGTCAGCGATGCTGGAGGAGGCTCTTCTGCGCCAGGGTCAGGGAACACCTCTGTCTGGAGACAAGGGGTCCTCGAGTGGACCCGAAGGTTGTAGAGAGGTGCAAAGTGAGACCAGGCAGAGGGGACAGCCAGTGCAGAGGCTTCGGCGGGCATCGGGGCTCCGGAGAGTTCTGCGCAGTCATGTTGTCACCTGACTCGTGCTCTAAAGGACCCCTCTGGCTGCTGTGTGGAGCACGGACTGCACGAGGCCAGCGCGTGCAGCATTCGGGTGCGTTCAGATGCAAGTAACCAACCCCAGCCGGCAGCAGCCTGGACGCACAGCGTTAGCCTTGCTTAGTAAGAAGGCGTGGAGTGTGCGGTTTCCATGATTACCAGGTACACTTTTTGCCTCTGGCCCAAGGTGGCTGCCAAAGCACAGAGCATCACATCTCAGACAGACAGAAAGGGGCAGGCATAACCGGGATACCCGTTTCTAAAATTAATTTATAACGTCCTTTTATAACAAAGGAAGGTTTCTCAGAAGCTTCTCAGCAAACTTCTCTGACGTTCACCAGGCAGACCTGGGCCCTCCTGGCTTTAAGAGGGTGGAAAGTGAACTATGGCAAAGTGGACCGGGACTGCCATCGCCACTGAGGGGGGCACACGGTCACCCCAAACAAACTCGGGGTCACTTAGCTGGGAAGTAGGGGGAAGGCTATAGGAGAGGCTGCCGATGAGTCTGTTGTGCAGAGAAACAGGGAGACCAGGTGGGCTTTACCAGCAGCCCGTAGAGGTGGGGGGCTGGGTGGGGGTCGTGAGTGGCGGCTCCATTCTAGAGCTGCTGAGGCATCAGATGTGAGGCTCAAAGACAGACAGAAAGCAAGGCTCTTAGTTTGGGGCCTGAGCCACTTTGTGGTGCTAGTACCCTTTACTGAGGTGGGGAAGACGGGAGAGCTTGCTAGTCACAGGTGAAGAGAGTCACACATTTGTCACAGAAGCGGAGATGTTCCGCAGGCAGCTGGATGCCTCAAGGGTGCCCAGAGGATCCAGAGCCGGAGACGTGGGTGTGAGGCTGTGTTCACGCTTCCGGTTCGTCCCTCCGCACTCTGCTCTGTGCCATGGGGCTGACCTATGCAGGCCAGGTCAGCTTGCGCCCTTGACCCGTGGCCTCTGGTTGGGCTTGGCCTAAGGGAGCACCCGTAGTCACCTGCAGGAAGAAGAGTGTGGTCAGGGCATGTGAGCCTCCGGGGAAGGCCGCGCCCTGGTCAGCACGCCCCCGCCCTCCATCTCTCTCCCCAGGTGCCAGTCCGCCTCCTTCCCCTTGTTTCTGCAGGCCTGGGGGGCAACTGAGGCATCACGAGTCCCCTCTTGAGGTTTTGCTGCACCCTGCACAGATCACGGGAGACAGTCCCCTCCAGTGCGTCACGCTGCCTGAGACAGAAGTCATCGCCACCAAGGGAGTAAGTGTGGACAGAGAGAGGGTGCTGGAGGTACCAGAACCGAGCCGGTGGGGGACCAGCATCCAACGATGACAGCGGGACGACGGGTGCCCGTGACCGCGACAAAGGCAGTGTCCACACAGGAGCGTATCAAGGAGACTGAGTCGCGAGGAGGTGCATCAGCAGGTGTAGACAGCTTGTCCAACGAGTTTTCCTGCAAACGGGAGCAGAGACGAGGGACAATAGCTCGACAGAGACGCAGCACTGAGGGCGTGTGCATGTGTTTAAGGACAGGGATATCACTGGGCTCTGCGCGGTGACCACTGGCCGGCCTAGGCAAGTGCTCACAGGGCTCAGGACAGCTCCGCCACTGTAGCAGAAGGGAAGACAGGTCACGCGCCTGCAGGCACGGGTGGGCTGGCAGGCCAGCGTGGACGGACGAGGACTTTCTTTCGACGGCTCTACTTTCTCAGTGAATCAAGAAAAAAGATAATCAACTGAGGCTGAGGAGGGGACATTACAGGGTGGCAGAGGGAGGACAGGGTTTGAAATGCTGGAGGAGTGTGACAGGCAGAGCTGACAGGCGGCGCTGAGCGGCCCGGAGCGGGAGGCCGGGGCCCTGCAAGTGAGCGGGGCCAGAGGCTGGTGCCGGTCACCGGGACACCCAGAGGACGCCTCGCCCCTCGCGGACCCCGCTCTTCCTCGCGGACCCTCCCCTCGCTCAGACCCGCGTCCCCCCCCCTCTTGTGACGTCAGCGTCTCTGGTCCCTCTGCCCTATTCACCTGGCCCAGTTCCCACTTTGGAGCTCCAGTGACACACCCACCAGGCTCCAGCCGCTGGAGAAAGTCACATGCTGGGAAGATTGATGTCACCCACAGTCCTCCAGGGGTCCCCGAGTTGGTGACTGCCCTCGTGCTTGGCAACGATGGTCGTCGTCATGCCCTCTGTCCTCATCGCCCGGCCCCCGCCACTCTCCACTCCGCCGCTGCACCTGCAGGCCTGGCAGCCTCCGGCGTTCCCGAGACGTCTCCCCCTTCTCAGTCCCGCCTCTGCCCCTGTGTCGGGTCCCTTTATGAAGAGGTGAAGAAGGAGAAGTGAGGACTGGCAGGCCAGCGTGGACGGACGAGGACTTTCTTTCGACGGCTCTACTTTCTCAGTGAATCAAGAAAAAAGATAATCAACTGAGGCTGAGGAGGGGACATTACAGGGTGGCAGAGGGAGGACAGGGTTTGAAACGCTGGAGGAGTGTGACAGGCAGAGCTGACAGGCGGCGCTGAGCGGCCCGGAGCGGGAGGCCGGGGCCCTGCAAGTGAGCGGGGCCAGAGGCTGGTGCCGGTCACCGGGACACCCAGAGGACGCCTCGCACCTCGCGGACCCCGCTCTTCCTCTCGGACCCTCCCCTCGCTCAGACCCGCGTCCCCCCCCTCTTGTGACGTCAGCGTCTCTGGTCCCTCTGCCCTATTCACCTGGCCCAGTTCCCACTTTGGAGCTCCAGTGACACACCCACCAGGCTCCAGCCGCTGGAGAAAGTCACATGCTGGGAAGATTGATGTCACCCACAGTCCTCCAGGGGTCCCCGAGTTGGTGACTGCCCTCGTGCTTGGCAACGATGGTCGTCGTCATGCCCTCTGTCCTCATCGCCCGGCCCCCGCCACTCTCCACTCCGCCGCTGCACCTGCAGGCCTGGCAGCCTCCGGCGTTCCCGAGACGTGTCCCCCTTCTCAGTCCCGCCTCTGCCCCTGTGTCGGGTCCCTTTATGAAGAGGTGAAGAAGGAGAAGTGAGGATTTTTTTCTTTCGTATATAATTAACGTCTAATTTTTAAAATAACAAAGGGTGCTGGTGGCTCTGTGGAGGGGGCAGAGGGTCCCTGTACCTCCAGCTTGTGCCACCCCTTCACAGGCAGACACTGTGCAGCCACCCCAGACCCCGCGGCGCAGAGGCCAGTGCTGTCCTGAATCCCGCACTGGCCACCGCCTGCTCCGCGTCGTGTGCAGGGGACACTGTGCAGCGTTACGGGCTGTGAACCCGCGTGAACAGGGCTTGCTGCATGCTCTGCTGTGACGCCCCCGAGTCACTGCGTGCCACTGCGGATCAGACCACACGTGTCAGGCTGCTGCGTGACGATTTGTTTGTCCTCTGTTCTGGTGGGGACTTGTGCTGCTTTCCCTTTGCCGCTATTTCCAGCAGTTCTCCATGAACGTGTAAGGGGCGCTCCTGCAGAGCTCGCTGCAGGGCGGGGGTCGCCGACCACGGGGCCACGCCTCGGCCTCGCTGGGTCCCCCGAGGGCCCGGGGTGCACCGACTGGCCCCCACGGCAGCACGCCAGCCCCAGCCGGTCTCGGACCCGCCCAGCACCCTGGATTGTCCGCCTCCCTGCTCTCGTCGACCTGGTGGGTATTGCAAGTACCTCGCTCTGGTTTTTACCTGCCTTTCCCTGATGACTGGGGAAGTTGAGCATCTTCTCATGTATTTATCACGCATTTGCGTTTTTTGCTTTGTCAAAGTGCCTGCTCAAGTCCTTCGTCCACTTTCCAGCTGAATCACTTCTCTCCTTCCCGTGGACGTGCAGAAGTTCTCACACGTGCTGGGTCCAGACCTCCAGTAGGGCGTTCGCAGTCGGTCTGTGGTTTGTCTCTTGCTTAGTTCATGGTTCTTTTGTTACACAGAAGTTCTATGTTCTAGTGTAATCGAAATATGTCCAACTTTTCCTTTATGTTCTGTGCTTTTTGGACCCGAGGAATTTCTTCCTGAGCTCGTTGTCGTGAAGACACCCTTTGCTTGTTCTTTTGGAGTGCTGAGGACATACCTTCCTACAGCCTTTTCTAAAATGCACGCAGCTTTGCTTTCTCCATTTTAAACCACTTGCAACTGATTTTTCTGTGTGATGTGAGGCAGGGATTCATTTATAACCAAATTGTCATGTCACCATCCATGGGAAGATCCCCTGTGTCTGGCTCCCCAGCTGCTCAGGTGCCTGCTGTCGACCTCTGGGCTGGCTCCACACCACGCGAATTACTAAACCTTTGTGAAGAGGTCAACACCCCACCTGGCTTTCTTCTTCAGGAGAATTTTGCCATTACTGACCATTTATTTGCCTTTATAATTTTTAGAATCAACTTGTCAGGTTATACACATACATAGTGGGCTTTCGGCAGGATTGTATAATCAACGGACCAATTTGGGGCAAATATACATCTCTTTGATATTGAGGTTTCCAAACCATAAACAATATGTATGTCCATTTATTAGGGTCATTTTTAGTTTATTTCAATGAAGTTTTATAATTTTCTCCACCAACGTCCTGCACATTTATAAGATGTTTATTCACAGATATTTTATATACTTTCATATATAACAAAGCATTTCATTTCTAAAGTTCCATTTTGTGTTCCTCATATTTTTTTTTTTAAAGATGACCGGTAAGGGGATCTCAACCCTTGACTTGGTGTTGTCAGCACCACGCTCACCCAGTGAGCCATGGGCCAGCCCTATACAGGATCCGAACCCATGGCCTTGGTGTTGTCAGCACCACAGTCTCCCAAGTGAGCCACAGGCCGGTCCTGTGTAAAAAAAAAAAAAAAAAAAAAAAAAAAAAAAAAAAAAAGAAATGCAGTTCTCTTTGTATATTAATTTTATATACAGAAACATTGCTAAATATTAATTAGAATATTGTTAGATTTCTTTACATTTTCTACGTAGATACGTTGAAGAATGTTTCAGTTTTCCCCAATTCTTACATATTTTATTTCTTTTTCTTACCTTCCTGTGTGAACTGGGATTTACTGTGCTGACTGGTACAATGATGCACACAACGTGAAGGTGGGAACCCTGCCCTGCTCCTCAACTTAAAGAAAATACTTTCAACTTTTTGCCATTAAGTATGATGTTTGCTGTGTTCTTTTAAAAAATAGATACCCTTTGTTGGGTTATGAAATTCGCTTCTAGTCTTGATTTCTAGGAATTATCATGAATAGGTGATAAATTCTGTCAAATGCTTTCTCTACATTGAGACGTTCATCTGATTTTTCTCCTTCTATATGTTAAGATGATGGCTTACATTAACCGATTTCCTAAAGTGGAACCAACCTCTCATTCCTGGGGTAAATCAGACTTGAGTATGATTGAGTATCGTCTTTATTTCTATTAAGATCTGGTTTACTGATAACCTGTCTAGAGTTTTTACAGCTGTGTATTGCATTGTTTTTATCCAGGTTGTGCTGCCTTGTAAACGATTAGGGAAAAATTCTACAGGGAATTTATATTTCAAAAGTTCAGTGGAACTCCCTGATTGGGCCTGATGTTTTCCTTGTGATTTAATTACTAATTCTATTTCTTTAAGAGTTATATGACTATTTAAGTTCTCTATTTCCTCTTGAGTCAGTGTTAGTTCAGTTATATTTTTCTGCCCCTGGCAGCTTTCTGGAACCTTCCTCGACTGTTCAGCGATGGACATCACTCCTGTCCAACCTTTCTTCCCTTTTCCACACTAGAAGTCAGAGCTGATGGCTCGCCCAGCCCTTCCCAGCTCCCTCCCTGTTCTGTCTCTACTAATAACAATATCTGATTGTCATCTGATAAACTCTGACAAGATCCTTATACATTTAATCCCATCTGCATCTTGGAAGACCTGGACTGATATGAGTGGCATCCGGAGAGGACTTGGGACTGGCTGGCCCAGTCCAGCAATGGGTTCAGAAGATGCTGTCCTGATTGGTCCCCAGGCCAATTGGTCCCTGTCACAATGTGGGGGCTCCCTGAGTGGTGGCCTGGGAAGATCCCAGTGGAGGGGATGCTGTGGTGGGTGGGGTGATGCAGGCATTTGAAACTCCCTGGGGAGGGGGGACCCATCCTACAAGGACAGGGCACCATGGGCTCTCACTACCCGGCCTGGAAGCAGCCAAGGCAGCTTCTGCTCTGTGAGGTCAGAGTTCCGTGGGGAGACTGGGGCTTCTGAACACTGGGACGAAGGCACAGGGACATGCCTCCACAAGCCCCTCTGGAACCTCTGGGAGTGCATAGGTGTCCCCACCCCCAGAGACAAGCACATCTACTGTGCTGGAAGGTTCTGCAGAAGCACCCTCCTCATGAGGAAGAAGGCATCTTCTCAGGAGCTGGCACACCCGGCTGGCAGGTCAACAGCTGGGGTCAGACCCCACTGTAAACCAGCTGGGGTGCGCTGCTGAACCTGGGGAGGGAGAAAAAGTGACTATCCAGCCAGGCAACTTCTAGAACTAGGTGGTACAGCGAGCTGGAGCCAGACAGGGTCCTGGAATCAGACTGAGAGGACAAAGGGGCCAGGTGCAAGGCTGGATGGGTTCACTGGGGAGGGGCACTTGCCCAGGGCACAGGGCTTAGTACCCTGGCAGGAGCCCAGGAGATGGGAGTGTCGAGTGCACCGGGCACCGGCACCCTGAGGAGGTGAGGGGTGCTCCTGCAGGCGGGGCCGTGAGGCTGCTGGCCGCTGCTCCCTCCCTGTGTCCAGCTCACTGCCCTGTCCTGGGTTCTGACTTCAGAGTCACTCCTTCCCCCGCTCCTCTCCACATGCAGCCACAGCACCACCGTCCTCGGCATCCACAGTGGACTTTGCAAAGTGCAGCTCTGACCACATCTCTCTCCCGATCACTCTCAACTCCCAGCCCCTGGACAGGCTTGTGAGGTGTGGCAGGTCAGCCCCTCTCCCACCCCTTCCCCAGAATCGGTGGCTTGACTGGGGACTCTCCTAGACACTGTGCTCTCTGGTGCTTCCCTCAGACGTTCCTGCCACCCACACAGGCCACAGACTCAGGGGCAGCCCCAGCCAGCCCACAGGCTCATCCCTGGGTTTCTCAACCTCAGGTCCACTGACATTGGGGTCAGGTAACTCTCTGTTGTGGCGGCTGCCTGTGCACTGTCACCAGAGGCCATGGCGTTCCCTCAGTTCTGAGAACCAATACTGTCT